ACTACTAGCCACCGATTAACAACAGTCAGCTCTTTTGATGTGGTTTCCAACCGTAGCTATCGACACTGTAGGTGCTCTTTGGAAACTGGATTGTTGGTAAAGGGGTCTGTGTTGTTGTGCTACAAGGAAGCAAGAAATGCAGGCCCTACAGCCGATGGTAACTGATAGCTTCCGCTTCCCTTGTTTACCTTGCTGGTTCCAGGTTCTTTGTTGTTGGAACCCGATGCCAAGATAGACGCTGAGGAGTTGCTTGAGCGGTGACCCTGTGCTATGCATTAATTATGGGGACGTCGCGATGTGTCCGGTAAACTGGTTGCACAAACAGTACTGATTTCAGGAACTAGACTACTGTAGTGTGACTGGTGGATAATAATTACTCCAGTACTTACAATGCCACTGAAACACACAACAAAGAGCACAAAGTCCTGTTGACTTGTACTGTGAATTATTGATACCTTGTTGATAAGATATAATAGTATCTCTGTTTCAAGCAAACACGCCAAAGGTAACCTGAAGTTCTTGAAGGCTACCGTACCAGGCAGGTTGGAATAATCCTGGCCTTTTCTAAGAATTGGCTGCTGGAACAAAAACTGCCAGGGTAAACATCCAGAGAAAAAGAAATGCGATAGTACGCCTGAAGCGTTCAAAACAAACCTCAATCTTCCTTTGGACAGGGGTAAAGACTATTCCGACTTCTGATTCTCAAGACCGTGGAAAGAGGGAAACTATTTATTTGACTCTTCGAAAGGGCTAACAAGTCTGGGAGGATTACCCTCTTTTTATTCTCTTGATAAGCTACTCAGTACCGTCCTGAATGTACTACGGTACTATTAAAATAGCTCTACTAGACTAGCAAACAGAGTAAACAATGGCTGAAGTCGATTTGGCATAGTCTTATGAGCGAGTGAAACAGTTACTTATCCTTAGCGTTGGCAGCACAAAAGGATATAAAGAAAAGTGAGCTCCAGCTGAAGATACTATAAAAACCAAAAGTCAATCCCAACCAAGAGTGAAAAGTAATCGCACCATGAATCACAGTGACGATGCGCGAACGGTTGCAGCGTCTTCAACCTACGATTACCCCCAAAGAGCCTAAAGTACTTATTAGTTCCGCTACGTTGCAAGATTTAAGATTTAGAGTTCGCTCTTCTATTTACACCTCCAACTGAATAAACTGGCAAGCGGGAACTCATGGAAGTCATTGGGGTCCTTTGGGGAAAGGGGTTAGGAACGCTAGTTATTGCAATGCCTTTGAATGACTGGAGAGTAAGGAAGCTTGGTGTACGCGCACATAGAGGGTTCGTCTTCGCTGCATCTGCCAGTTTGTCCTCGAAAGACCCACAGTTGCCCCAGATCCAGATGCAGCTGAAACTATGCATAGCCAGACTACTACATGTACAGTACTACTACTAGTTACTCGTAGCTACATGTAGACCAGTACACATTTAAACATTGGCGTGTACATGTACTGTACCGGTAGTGGTACATGCATGGCACTGCAGTCCTATTGGGCCTGCAGATTACATGGTGAGCGGAAGAGCGGACCGCTTTGACGATTTGACCGCTCTCAGACCGCAGTGACCGCCCGGTATCAGCCCCATGTTGTATCCAAGCTCGCTCCCTTGAAGCCTTTGGTACCGGTAGGTCTACTTGCAGCAGTCGGCTCTTTGAAAGAACGCACCATGCGGATATCTACATGTACGGTGCGAGTAGACATTCAGAGATGGTCACCTTTTTTTCATTGGGCTTCGAGTATGGTAGGGTAAGGCTCAAGCAAGCTGTCAGCAGATTTGCCACCATCAGATCAAGGGTACCGTATGAGATAATTCAATCTTTGCCGACAAGAGTTCCTGTACCGTACCACGCACCCAAGGCTGTCACACAATACAGCGTACTAGTACCGGTAGGTGGTGTCGTGGAGTGGTACAGCACTGCAGTTCTAATTGCTGGGCCTGCAGAAGGTGAGCAGAAGAGCGCAACGGCTTTGACGATTTGCTCGTCATCTTGTTTTGGAGTGATCGAGTGGAGTTGAGTCGTGGATAAATCGAATCCTAATCAATTTTTGGGACCCATTTCAAAACGGTTCACCACGGATAGCCATTGTGACGTGGCAGTGCCACATTAACCACCATGGATCGCGCCAGCCATTTTTAAAAAATAGCCGGCACGAAAACCCAGATTTGTCATCCTCCCCGATGGGAAGTAGACCAACCAAATTACACTAAAGACTAGCACAAAGTAGTTACGAATCTCAATCACAAATCCTAGTTGCGCGATTAAACACACCTCTGTGCTGTTGTTTGGGCCTTTTTCTTCACATTCTTTCTTTTCGCACAAAGGTACACAGTGCTCTCGCCAAAACAAACAAACAAACAAGCCAACGACATCCTACTTCTGAACCAACTCGGTAAGAGAGGCAAGCACCGCAGCCACAAAGTTGTCAACTGGCAATGGTGCATGGGCTCCCCTGTTGGCAACATCTACAAAGTGGTAGATGAGACCGGGATCTTTGGCAAACATACCTGAGGCCATACCCTCAATAATTTTCACCGTTTCCCTCCTGACAACACGCACGATGTTCTGGCGACTGGCAGCGTCAGCGGCGGTAAAGTAAGGAGGGGGGACTTTGTAAGCGTTGTTTGCAAGTTCCCTGCGTCCGTCTGGATTAGTGAGCATCTCTCGAACGTTATCCGCTCCATGGAAATCAATAGAACCACACCAGAGTTCCGGCATCTCTCCAATCTTGGGCACGGTCCTCGGCTGTTTAGGTTTTTTTGGAGCTTCTTTCTTCTCTTTCTTTCGCTGTTCGTCTTTAGCTTCTTTCCGAGCCTTAGAGAGCTCTTCTTTTTCTTTCCACTTCTTTGCTGCGTTCATGTCCTGCTGCTTTGCCGATCTGTTCTCCTTTCCACTCCTCTTGATGGCAGTCTTCTTCCCGGCAGCTTTCTTGCTACAAGTCTTCTTGCCGCCGGTCATAATTCTCATAGACTCTTCCGCGGAACGGGGGCGTGGTGCATTAGCATAGTCACTGAACTTCTTCTTCAATGCAGCTGCACGTTCCTTGTGCACTACGCTAAAAGCTAGTGTAAAGATCTTTCGAGTGTTTTGAGTTTGAGAGAATGAAAGTTATGAGAGGATTAGAAAGCTATGAAAACTAATCAACGAGAGAGATCTACAACCAAAGGAAAAGTATCTGTAGAGTCTGAACTCCCGCGGGAGACTGTAGAGTGTGATAGAGTAGGTTGCGGTAGCAATCCTACTCACTCCACGATCCAAAAACGAAACACGTGGAAGATTCGTAGCATTTATCTAGTAGCGTGGAATTAATCCACGCTGGCTAAATGTCTAGAGAGATGTTTCATTATCAACCAGGATACTAGTAGCGGTCATTGAATAACCCTGTCTCAATGACTATTCACCAGAGAGATCATCATGAGTCGAACCAAACCGCTACTCTAGGATCGAGTCGCGAATAAGGCTAAGACCAGTGTATTGCATCGCCCCCTGACAAGGGTCAACGGAAGGCACAACATAACAATCGGACAAGGAGAACATAGAAATTAAAGTGCGGGGCACCCACTCTCCGGAGATTGGATGTAGACATGTGCGCCGCACGATGGCAATCCTACGAAGGGATCAAGCCTTGTATGGGTGTAAACACCTTATGTTCCAAGTCTAGTAGACTGTGCCCGCTACTGGCGGTAGTATGCCGGAGCCGTACAGTGCCATTCTCATTGCGACCTCGGTCTGTGTGGTAAGGACATTTGTGCGTGGGCTGACCGTACGAACGTTTCTGATACTGATGAATCATCATAGAATCGTTGACATGGTGTTGATGAGGGCAACGTGCCGTGTTCTCCTTTTCGATGTTTTTCTGGATAAGTCGTTGGCGACGTTCTTTGATGTATTTCCGGTTTGCATTGAAACGGATGTGGTGAGTCTGTTCACGATTGACGCGCGTTAAATTGCGACGAAGTCCACATACATCCCGGAGA